AATATCTGAAATATCGACAAGGTACGATTAAGGAGCCAGTACGATATAGGCGATTTTCCCCTATTTGCTATGTGGGCGCCGCAACTTTATTTAGACAGCTCTTGTAGTCACTCTTGGCTAGAAAAGCCCGATAGATTCTTTCTATCAGAAGTGCGAGATTCTCTTAAAAAGGGCATAATCTCTAAAACCTCTCAGTTGTTCGCCATTCATCCCACGATGAAGCGCATTGCAACATTTCGCCATAGTGATACCAAAACTACAGTTCGAGTCACATAACTTTTAATCACGTCATAGGCTTCAAATCACCAGTGATGCCATACATCTTCAAAATTGGTATGCTGTAGGAATTCTCAGCATTCGTCATCTTTCTCATTCTCTCTGCATAGCATGTAAGTTGATAGTTACGGAAAAAATACGTATTGAGGAAAGTCTTAGATAAGTCGATATTGAAATACTGCGAACACATTACAGAGGATAGGCTTTGACAATATGAACTGTCATGTCAAATGGGAAACATCATGTTTCCTGTATTGTGGTATTTTTAACCTCATAGTTGAACGTCAAAATGACGATATGATATTATTTACGACATGCCGTGAACTTGCGAATTCGACAAAATAGGCCTGTGCATAAGCGGCAACCATGTAGACATATTTGTAGTCGGTGAGACATGCTAATATATCTTCTTCATTTTCTAGCACATTAAATTTATATGACTTGCCATTTTACGTAAGTCGACCACCAATCGTGGCTTTTTGTGACGTGAATAAAAAGATATGTGACTTCTACTATATTTGTTTCAACCCCTTACCTCGCTTCATACAAACGCATGTACAGGAAGACCCAACCGAAAAATTGCTCATAAAAAAAGCTATTTTTAAAAAAATATTCATAGATTGTATATGGTATCTGGACGCATATTTCTAAAATATTCATAATTATACAGTTTCAGAATTTTAAGCCACATATCAAAGCTGATTCTTTTAAATGGATTGCCCCCCAATTGATATAACATGTTTATAGGTTTTAATCATTATTAGTTTAGCTATTGGGTACTTTGTCTAAAACACGTCAAAGCTTGGTAGTCTACGTACCTGCTTTCTTGGTAGTTGTTGGAACAGTGAATTTTATGTCAAAAATATTTTATCATAATTTTTTACTAGTTAATTCTATTAGAGGGGTCTATCCGAATATGCAGTACAAAGTGGGGCTTTCCTTTCATAAGAAATCAACTTTGATATGTTGGTCATAACTGGGATACACTGTATAATTGTGAAAGAAACAGTATATATAAAGCCGCTCAAAAATTTAGTTGAGCAACTAAAAGGTTTAATAATCAACATTTGTGACAGTTAACAAGTTTAACAGCTTTCCGAATATGCAGTAGAAAGTGGGGCTTTCCTTTCATAAGAAATCAACTTTGATATGTTGGTCATAACTGGGATACACTGTATAATTGTGAAAGAAACAGTATATATAAAGCCAATCAAAGATTTAGCTGAGCAACTAAAAGGTTTAATAATCAACTATGTGACAGCTAACAAGTTTAACAGCTTTATTTAGACTCTGACTTCTAAAACAGTTCACTCAAATCTATGAAACTAGTGTGATTAAACCAAAACGCAATCGTTTAATTAAATTTATTAAACCGCTTGCTTAGAATGACTACACCAGATTATTTGAAATTAATCAGCGTTTAAAATAAGTTTAAAAGCTCCAAGTTACAAAATTTAAATTTATTTATTAAATTTGTTTGATCAGTTTAGGTTAAAGTGTTTTTACCTGGCTTTATTGGTTTTGTTTACTTAAATTCAAAAAGATATTTGGAATTTAAAAAGCAAATTGCATTTTACTGAATGATGAAATATCCCAAAATTAACGCAAATTTTGAGTTAAATAGAAAACACAGTTTTAAGTCTTTAGATTGCTATTTTTCATTGAACAATAAAGAACCTAAATAGGGTTATGTATGGAATATCACATCGGGCAGACGGCCTTCACGGCTTTGCTGTCACATGCGCACCCTTTTGTCAAAATTTTTCATGACTTTTCTACATAAAGGTGGCTGAATTTAATTGGTACACCGTTTAATTTCGCCGTTGCACGGGTGGTTGTAGGCTTGTTAACGTAGGCCTTTGACTTTGTTAAATCACACGGCGAATTCTGATCACCGAAACGGGAAAGTACATTACCAGAAATTCAGTAATTGAATTGTTTTACTGCTTCACCAGCCTGATTTGCAAAAAGGTATGGTCCAATGATGCCTCCAGCCTAAAATCCGCACCAAACAAAATAACGCAAGCAGCTGAATTTGTTAATAAGGGAAGATTCGCCCGTTTGGTAACCTGATCATTTTAAGAAGCTGAAGGATCGCAGTTTGAACATATATTGTGCTTTTAATAAATATATTCACGAATTGACAAGTGGCGTTATTATCTCTCTTGCTGTCACTACGTAGAATGACACTGTCCGTCACTCCGTCTAAGAAAAAAATTAAATTTGTAGGAACTAAAAAATCATCACAGGGTGTAGATTTTTCCGTTTTTTTAATGCATACAGTCTGAAAAGTACTCACAAACAAATACATTTTCGGAAAATCTATTAATGGCATGTTATACACGACATTTAAGGGCACATCTCTAAAGCGTTGGCAATTATACAGGGTGTCCCAATTTTGACCTACATATCAAAGTCGTATTTTTTAAATAGAATGCCTCAAATTTTATTGCATATTTGGTTAACCCAATTCAAAAGAAGAATGGGATTTTGGTACATAGGTACTGAGATGTAAGGCTTTCTGTCCAGAAAAACCGTCCACTTCGGCAACCCTTCAATCCGCCATTTCGAAATTTGGAGTGCTGAATTTTGTATCAAAGAAAACTTAAACAGCTCAGCTTGTATCTTATTTATTACTTTTTGCTCATACACGGTTGTTAAAAACGTGAATTGTACTTTTACTTACAAAAGACAAACAGTGGGCTAGCCTCATATTGCCACCAAGAGTACATATTTGACGTAAAAACTAATAACAGTCAGAACAGTATAAATCAGCGTCAAGCGTAATAGAGAAAAACAACTATAACGACAACATAAACAAACATCTATTACTACTCAAAACCTAATCTATACAAAAACTGCTCAAAAATATCTCCACCATGTTGAACACACAGCCGTAGTCTTTGGATAAATGACCGTTGCACATCCCTCAGCATGTGTTCCCTTAGGTTCAGAAAAGAATCCTTAATCCTTTCCTTCACATTTTCCGGGGTAAATGGGGGATACCTATAAACCTCTTGCTTAACGTAACCCCATAGAAAGAAGTATATCGGTGTCATATCTGGTGATCTAGGAGGCCAAGATATAGGCCCATCGCGACCGATCCAACGATTGTTACTCCAGGTGTCCAAATAATTCAAGTATTCTGTACCTGTTAATCTGCTGTCGAAAAAGAAAGGCCCGATAACTAGTCTGCCAATAACTCCTCCCCAAACATTCAAGCTCCATTTATTTTGGATATCTATTTGCCTAACCCAGTAAGGGTTTTCCGTCGCATAATAGTGCATGTTATTCCTGTTGACAACACCTATGCTGCTAAAAGTTGTATCATCGCAAAACAGAACCTTATTCAGGCAAGTAATGTCTTCACTCACTTTATTTAGCATTATTCGACTCAACTCCATTTGAGCTGCGAATTCCTGAGGACGAAGGCCTTGATACAAGCATAGGTGATATGGATGGTACTTGTGCTTGTGAATAATCCTTTGGACAGAAGTTCTGGATATTAAGGTTTCTGCTCCAATTTGCCGTGCACTTAAATGGGGATCTTCCTGCATCTTTAATAGAACCTCTAACTGATTCGCCTCATTGGTGACACTTGGATTATTCCACTGTACCACTTGATTCAAAACGTTCTTGTAGTGTGGAAAATGTTTCCGGCCTTGGATGTCGCATATTAGGGTACCGTTGCTTATAAATGCGAGATGCTAGGAAACTATTTCTTTGGGCTTCGCCCAAGATATATTCACCATATTCCCCATTTCTTCTTTAGAAAAATGCATCTTCAAGCACGTCTTTATTGTAATGCTCACAAAGCTAATTTTGACAATTTGTAACTAATCAACAATTTATTTGTTTCCAAGGATGATGCGATATTTTAGGGAATTAAGCCGTTCCATAAAATCGAAAAAATAGCCGTAAAAGCTCTTGTGTCTAGTATAAAAAAGCTTATAAAAAATTGAATCCAAACTTGCACAAATATACAGGGTGATGCATTTGAAATTTTTGAGAAAAACTTGCGTTTTTGACCACCCTGTATGAGCGAACATTAAAAATCTAAAAAGTGACAAATAAAATAAAAGCTGAGGTGTGTAAGTTATTTTATTACAAAATTCAGCACTGGCGGACTGAGGGGTTGCCGAAGTGGGGGGTTTTTCTAGACAAAGCACCTTATATCTCAGTAGCTAATTACCAAAACACCATAGTATGTTATATCAATGTTCTTCTTTTGAATTGGTTTATCCAAATGTGTAATAAAATTTGAGGCATCCGATTTGAAACATGACAACTTTGATACGTAGGTAGAAATTGGGACACCCTGTATAAGGACCAATATTTTAGAAACGTGCCCTCAAATGTCAAGTATAACATCCCTAAAATAGATTTTCACAAAATGTATTTGTTCATGAGTAATATTCCGTCCACACATGGATGGGCCACCCTGTATAGTCAGTGATTTCGTCCTCAACTTAAAAACAAGACTGCTGGTTGCTTGGTAGCTGCTTAATTGTGAATTCAAAAGCAACAACTTTTTCGAATCATATTTATAAACGAACAGCTCGGTTGCTCGGTGCTTGGGCTCAGCACTGACGCTCGCCGTTTTTTTTTCATTCTGAATGCAGACAGCCGGATTTTTCCAAAATCTAAGTACAGTCAAGGTGAAAAATAATTGCATAAGTTCCACAAGAATTATACGCTGCGTTGTGGCAAAAACAATACGAAGAGCCGATATAGTTAATAAGGCTTAAATTGTAATGAAAACAGCAAATACTCATTGACTAAGCACTTTATTTCGTCGGCTTTGGAGTCGTTTAGAACGGCTACTTTTGGTCTTCAAAAGTTTGATCGTGGTGTCGTATTCGTCTCTACAAATTAAGTCCATGTATATGGCTGCCAGATCTGAAAGTCGAAATTAAGAATTAATGTTACAAAGCATTTTCAATAACGTGTTACGAATTAATATAGATTAATATCAGAGATTCACCTATGAAATCAACAATAAAGATGTGTCGTCGTTAGACTGTAGTTGTCCTGTTGCCGCTCGCTCGCAGCACATTCAAGAAGCACGTGTTTGAACTTTAGTATCTCATAAATTTTGGGTTGAAATACTCTAAACTCACCCTTGATACAACTGGCACAAAATACCAGAAAAACTAGGAAGAAGTAACCTAGTACGAATAATAACCAGGTTCTTAATGAAAATACCTCCAACAAGGAGTCAAATGCGTTTCTGTAAAATAGTGCCTTCATTTTTCACTGTTCAACACTAGGACAATTCTCACAGATATATTCTGCATGTTGGATTACACTCTGCAAATTGAAAAATGAGCATAGTAATCCAGCCAAAATGAAAGTTATTTTTTCAAAACTTCACATAAAGCTGAAAATTGGGATACATCAGGATGAATAATATACTAAGTGACATATAAATCCGAACACCCAGTTTAAATGGTTTTATTTTAATAAAAGTTGGTGAATGTATTTATCTTACTGTAAATAACAAGTGAAAAAATTTTCAGCCTTATCAGTTGGACCTTCCGGTTTTTATACGGCTTTTTTTTAATTCACTAACGCTCCAAAAATGAATATCTCAGCCGCAGTAAAGAATCAACGTTGGCGGATTTTGGTTCTTGACATCCTTTACGATCGGTTACGATGCCTAGAGTACGGAGACCTGTACGATTTCGTCAACTTAGTGAGTTTGATAGGGGCCGTATGGTGGGACTTCGGGAAGCTGGACTTTCTTTTCGGGCAATTGCAGTTAGAGTGCAAAGAAGTGTAGACACTGTGGTTAGGTGTTGTCAGGCATGGCTTCGAGAAGGCCGTACGCAAAGAGCAAGGGGCACTGGACGCCACCGTAGAACAACAGACCGTGAAGATCGCCACCTAAGATTATTGGCCTTAAGGGACCGTTTCTCCACTACCAGGTCCATTGCAAATGAATGGTTTGCAGAACACGGAAGACCTATTGGCATGCGAAGTGTTTACCGACGAATGAGAAGTTTTGGCTTGTTTTCATACCGGCCACACTGGGTCCTCCCTTTAACTCGAGAACACCGACGTAATCGCCTTGAGTGGTGCAGACAACGGTCACTCTGGGATCAGGAATGGAACAGTATTGTCTTTAGTGACGAGTCTCGATTTTGTTTAGGCATGCACGATGGTCGTGCCAGGGTTAGAAGGCGACGTGGTGAAAGGAGGAATCCACAGTTTTTTGTTGAAGGACATGTTCATCACACTGTTGGAGTTATGGTTTGGGGTGCTATAGGTTATGGTTCCAGGTCACCTTTAATCTTCATCAGAGGTAACATGAACGCGCAGAGTTATATCCACGACGTTCTAGAACCTCATCTTTTACCCTATCTTGACACCCTGGCAGATCCAACTTTCCAACAAGATAATGCCCGACCACATGTTGCAAGAGTCACAATAGACTTCTTTCAACATAATGATGTCACATTGTTACCATGGCCACCAAGATCTTCCGACTTATCCCCAATTGAGCACGTGTGGGATATGATGGGTAGGAGATTGCTCAATTTGCAACGTCCTCCTCAGACTCTAGAAGCTCTTCGAGAGGAGTTGGTGGTTGCCTGGAATGAGATACCACAGGAGGACATTGACCACCTGATCAGAAGCATGCCTAGGCGCGTTGGAGAATGCGTAGCACATCAGGGTGCATCCACATATTATTAAAGGTCAAAGGGCTTTAAAGCAGTGCAAACATTTTGAAATTTTTATCATTTACTTATTATGCTTCATTAAGTACTTATGCAAAATTTTATTAAAATAAAACCATTTAAACTGGGTGTTCGGATTTATATGTCACTTAGTATATATAAAAACTCATAATAATATATCCTTGGAGCGGAACCTTGTTTTATTTGGGTTGAAATGTCAAAAATATTACATTTTGTCATATTTCTCTGAAAGAATTTTTTCTATAGAAAATTGTAAATAAACAATTATCGATCAAAATTGTAAAAATACTTTTATTCATTGAGTCACCGTTCAAAATAACTAGTGATCTGTGGACTCTCAGGTACTCTTCTGCTCTTATGCGGCATATGTTATGTGGAGACTATCGACCATTCCATATAAACATATACAGGGTGTTTCACAACCGGATCCGAAGGGGTGGGCCAATTGCAATTGCTCTGGACTTCTTTCTATGGGGATACTTGGAAAACGACGTATGCCGTACTAAAGTTCAGAACATTGAAAAATTGCGTGACCGAATCACAGCGGCTGCCGATAATTTGAGCCTTCAGGCACAGCAGGAAGGAGGTGTATTTGAATTAGTGCATTACAGTCAATGGAAACAATTTTGAACAGCTTTTATAAGTAAGTGAGCTGTTAGACTGTATTATTTCAATTTCTGTAGGACTTTTATTATTTATTTTTTTGTGAAATCAGCTTATTTCGTAACAGTGCATATGTGGTTATTTGTCGGATGAGTTGTGAAACACCCCATATATGTGGAAGTAGCTAATATTATACAAGCTGTGTCAAAAAAAGTGTGTTGACTATTTTTCTAAAAATGCATTTCATTAGCAACCAGATGTTTCGAAACACATCCTGGTCTGGTTAAGGGACGTTCAAGATGATCAAAACGGAAATTGATTTTCGGAAAAAAGTCATACCCACGTGGAAATTGTTTTATGCCCTCAATATGTTATTACAATAATTAACATATCAGAAATCACCATCGATCGTTGTAGCGCGAAATTTTGTATTGGAGGTTACATGTCAAAATTAACGTTTTCTTTATCCTGAAACGGTACAAACTACAAAATCATTAGGTCTAATAATTGAAAAAATTCAAATTCGTCGGCAAAGTTATCCAAAAATTCTGGTATAATTTATCTAGGAGTGGGGCTTGTTATTACCATTCATGAGCCCTTCAGAGTTTTACGTAAGAGCCAAATGTTAGAATATTCAGCAAAACATACGTGTTCCAAATTTCGTTCAAATCGGACTTATAAAACGTGTTTTAGAACGAAAACTAACGCCCTCTAAGGACAAACGAAGCACTTTTGCATGGAGGTAACTCATGTCCAGTCTATTTACTTTGAGTTTAAAATACGTGGTACTCCTACATCCACGGAATTTTGGGGGGATACCCTGTATATGGTGGAGGTACCCGGCAGGATGCAAGGTATCCCTTCTTATATTGATCTGCCGCATTCCAGCACATTCCAAAATAGACTACAGGGTTATCCAAATTAAGTGTCCACCATTAGTAACTTTGTTATTAGTGAAAATACAAAGTTGTTTGAATTAGCAAACTAGTAGCATTTTTAACGCTGGTAAAAATGAGAAATAAAAAAAAACAATTGAGAGTCGTTATTCTGATTTTTTTCAGTAAAATAACATTTTTTTAAATGGAAACCCCTGTATATTATATTTTTTTCTGTTAAAGCATCAAATTTTAAACAAAAAAGCTTACAATAAATTTTCTCCTAGGTTACAAATTGTTGAAGTTATGGCCTCCAATCTGAAACAATTAAATTGTATCGACAAACTTTATTTTCAAGATCAACTTATAATCTTACAAAATACAATAACAATTTTTTTTAAAGAAGATGCTCGAAAACACCACCTTGTTCTTCAATACATTTTTGGGCACGTTTTTCAACTGCTCGAACTGTCTTAAGTATGGTCCTACCATCTATCTGGGTTATCTTTTCCCTAACTGCAGTCTTTAACGCGTCAAGGTTATCGTACCTTCGCTTGTAAATTTGGTTCTTTAAGTAATCCCACAAGAAGTAATCAAGTGGGTTTAGATCTGGTGATCTGGGAGGCCACTGTATTGGGCCACTTGTTCCTATCCACTGATCATTAAAAGTAGTACTTAGAAAATGATAAGTACCTCTGGAGTTGTGGGCAGGTGCGCCATCTTGCTGAAAATGCAGATGATGCCTACTTATAAGATCCAATTCGTCTAAGAAATTAGTCAGAATTTCTGACATAAATTCCACATATCTTTCACCAGTTAGGGTTCCCTCATAAAAGAACGGGCCAACAATTTTTGAACCAATTATACCGCACCAAACGTTGAAACTGAAACGGACTTGTGGGCCTCTTGGATGTACTAACAAAAGATTTTCTCTTGACCAACAATGGTGGTTTTTTCTATTAAACATTCCAGAATTTGAAAAATTTGATTCATCTGTCCATAAAAGGTAACGAAAGTTATTTACATTTTGGCGACAGAAGCTAAGATACCAATGGCAAAAAACAAGTCTTCTCTCTGGATCCACTGCCAAAAGCGTTTGAACTGGTCGGTACTTATACGGAATAAATTTGTATTTTTTTAAAATCCTTTGAACAGTACCATAACTGAAATTAGAGTCCTTGAGAATATCTGCTATTGAATTCTCACGATAAGCTTCAAAATATCCAATAACTGCAATTTCCGTGGCCTCGCTTATTATGAATTCTTTTTTTGCCCTTGTTTTAGCAAAAACATTTTCGTTGCCCCTAAATTTTCGATATAAAGTCTCAGAAAATATCGTTCATACGGTTGAATGCGAGCGGGATATAATTCACTGTAGTATTGCATTCTAACATATCACACTTTTCTTCATGGGAGAACATTTTTCTTTAAATTAATGACACAATAAAGCTTATAAACAAGTATTTACACTAATGTTTGACATTATTTGATTTTATCATTGTTTTCCAAAGCCTTCTAGTTGCGAGTATGTCCAGTTTAACAATTTGTCGCTTATCTTAATGCTGTCAAATCGCGAACGCCATGTTGTTTTCATAGCCGTCTTAATATTATAATACTGCAAATAATTAAAAATATTTATCGTTATTTTGACTTTATTTTTGACTTTAGCGGAAAAGTCATTATGAACTTTTTTGTTTAAAATTTGATGCTTTAACAGAAAAAAATATAATATACAGGGGTTTCCATTTAAAAAAATGTTATTTTACTGAAAAAAATCAAAATAACGACTCTCAATTGTTTTTTTTTATTTCTCATTTTTACCAGCGTTAAAAATGCTACTAGTTTGCTAATTCGAACAACTTTGTATTTTCACTAATATCAAAGTTACTAATGGTGGACACTTAATTTGGATAACCCTGTATAGTAATTCAAAAAGAGCATACGGAGAATAGAATCGGATATACTCGGTGGCCTGTGTATAAAATGCATAGATACAAAAAATGCAAATGACAGATTATCCTGCTCTTGCTCTTTCCACATATAAATTCAACCTAACAAGGCAAAGATACATAGTCAAATAAGAGATGCGAAGTTTGTTAAGAAGTGCAAATGGTAGCACGCTCAGTTCTTACGAGACACGAGGCTTACTGTGACAGAATGGCTAGTATTTTTGACCTAATTCCATTGCAATTGAAGTCGTCAGTAAACAGTAATTCAAACATATGTGGCTTCATGTAAGGGCTACACAAACATGGAGGATTATCAACATGAAAACGACAGGATAAAGTTCAGGTGTTACATTAAAGAAAGACTGCAGTACATTAATATCGCTTTCGTTTGAAGAAATGATATTTAAAGGTACTAAATACACAGATAGCTTTACTTACTGCCTCAGGAAGTCTGTGAGCTTGGTATCATTCCCAATTTTTGAATCCCAAACCCTATCTTATAACGAGCGAAGTTAACACCTCCAACTCTTGAATATACGTGCCTGAAACCTCACTTTGACAATTTGTTTGATACCTGTGCTTGACATTCGATGGTCAGTTGACAGCCTTGACAACTAAAATGATAAGATACCGAAATGTTGACCTTTACTGGCCCCTTCTCGATAATTTCAGAAGGTTTTTTTGTAGAAGGTCGGAAACTTTTATTTGTAGTCGTTAGAATACACTTGAAATTACCTAAGTGCATACTAAAAAAGGATATCTGGAAGCTGAAATGTAATTATCTGAGAGGAGATAAAAAGTATTAACAAGATGCTGTGGGAAATGTTTAAGTTCCATCAGAGGTCTGCATATGACTGTAAGTACACTAGGTTTATCTGTGGTTTCATATAGGTAAGAAATGTGAATGGGCGGATCCATGGTTGATCAAAATTAATCATTCGAAGATGCAGTTTATCCATTGTACTAAAAAACGTAGCGGTGCCCCATCGGAGGTTTCAGTTAACGAAGTTTGCAAGTATCTTGGTGTCACTCTTGATAAGGGCCTGGCAGAAGCACACTAAAGCATTAAAAACCAAATTCCAAATTACATTTCGGCAACGCTACCTCGTGCTATGTAATACCTCAAAATTAATTTTGACCAACAAAGACGGTTATTACGCCAGCGATCACTTCTCGCCAAAACTCACTTGCGTAGTCTATAGGTTTTGCAGAACATGATCTTGCGCTGAATCACTTCACAGAGATCTCGACATCCCTTACCTAAACAACAAACGCAACTACGAGTACGATATAGTTAAGCGGAATTACACAGCAACCCTTTGTTGCGTGAGTCAGTAGACTGTAGAGTCGAGCAACTTTGCACACAAGACCGCGGCTCGCACTGTGAACAAAATGTAATCATGCGACTTTAGGTCCGACTAAAATTACACTATTTCTATATCAACCAATCTCTAAATTAGCTTTAGGATCGATATAAAATTCCCGAGAAGTAATTTTTTTGCTCTCCCTCTTTCCTTCCTTTCTCTCTTCTTCCCTTGTCTATCCGCGACTTTGTCTGATATTTGGGCAACCCAACCTGAGAGACCTAGTGACCTACGATACCTTAACCAGGAGCAAAGGTCCTACGGAAGTTCCTAAGGTAGTTGAGCTTTTTTAAGGGGGTCGCTCTATGATTTGTCAACGAATCCAAATTTTAGATGACAAAAATGTGACAACCACAACGTTGAAAGCTCAGTGCGGCCTAGAAGTTAGTTTAGCTTTTTTGGTCCACCTCATTTAGATTTCATATAATAATGATATATAATGATAATAATAATAATAATATTTATTTACTCCTTAAACACAACGCAAAGAATGAGTAAATAAATATGAAGTAACGGCCCATGGGAGGCATTGACTGTACATGGACAATAGATGTTGAAACTGTATTTTTGAAATATAGAGGTATGACTAATCAACGAATTATTTGATCACATTCACTATTAATTTGTATACGTCTGGTCCTGCCAAAGAAAAAATTCATTCTTTTAACTTTTTCTTGAACTTATTGCCAAAGCGTAGATCGTCAGGTAATTGTATACGAGCCCCTTCCCACTTCAGTTGGCCCAACTATTGAAATGTTAGTTTTTTTCTTATCAAACACAAATAACTCAAATGTAGCAAGGTGTTATAGGTTAAAATATTAACAATGATTATTTTGATAATATATAGTAGAAAACACCAACTTTATCACTCCCTAATCAAATTTGCAGCATAAAATAACGCATGTTGCAATTACAGCATATCAACCTATTTCCATTTTTTTTAATAATAATAATGCCTTTATTAACTGCAGTGAGGCGAAGTTTAGCCAGATGGCTAATCTTACACTCAACCCCACAACAGGAAAAAATAATACTTAAACTCATAAGCAAAATAATAACATACCAAAAAATAAAAATACAATTCATAAGAATGACATTGATTGCACGAGACAAATGCAGATAGTATTGCGAGAGTTTTAAATTTGAAACACAAATAGTAGAAAATACTCAAACAAAAAAAAATAAAAAAAAAATCACACGAGCACAAGAAAAACTGAACTAAATGGACTCCAGCAGCTGACTTTTCAATAATTTCTTAAAAGAAACAACCTGTTTGGATCGATAGCCACTGTTGACTGCATTGTAATGCTTGACAACATTATAGGTGTAACTTCTTTCAAAGACCGAGGTATTGTGAGGAGGCATGTTAAAATTAGCATTAAATCTAAGAGCTCTGGTAACTAAACTACCTCGGTGAACTAATTTGCTAGCGAGGTAAGCTGGTCTGTTAGATAGTAGAACTTTATGCGTGAAGACGGTCAAAAGATATAAAAATAACTTATCAATTCGCAACCAGTTGAGTTCTTTGATTTTATCTGAGACGCGACTAAACTTGCGCAATCCAAAAAGAAACCTACAACAGCTGTTCTGAATTTTCTGGAGTTTACTTTTGTGGACGTAGTCTAAACATGGATAATACAGAACAAGAGAGTAAGAAATGACAGACAACACAAGACTTTCAGCGAGCTGTTTTCGGGTTTTGAAATTCAAGATGTATGGATTAGAATAGAGGAGTTTCAAATGCAAATACGTTACTCTAGATAAGAAAGAGACATGCCGATCGAATCTCATTTTTTAATTAAGGGTAACACCGAGAATCTTGGCGTAATCCACAAAAGGGATGAGTGTCTCATCCAAAAAAACACAAATCCTCTGCTTCATTTCACGGTAGGAGTTTTTCGAACAGTACAACATTGCAGTAGTTTTATTGGGATTGATCTTCAAGCAGTGTTTGTTACAGTAATCACCGATGTTAGCCAAATCTAAATTTACTTTAAAAGAAACTTCATAAACCTTTGATGGATCGAAACTAAACACTAACTGAGTATCATCTGCATAAGTTTGCATACTACAGTGGACTAAACAGTCTTGCAGATCGATCGTATAAATCAGATATGGTAAGGGACCTAATACTGAGCCCTGAGGAACTCCTGAAGGAACTGGCACAGAGGAGGAAATTCCCTGATCAGTTTTCACTGTTTGTTGACGATTTAGCAAGTATGACTCAAAGAACCTTAGAACTACTACGTTATATATCTGACATTCTATAATGAGATAACTTACTCAGTAGTATCTGGTGATTGACCATATCAAAGGGTTTCGAGAAATCTAACAGTACCAAGACGGTGTTGATGTGATTGTCTAAATTGTGAATGATGGAATCAGTAAGATGTAATAAAGATGAAGTAGTGCTGTAACCAGCTCTGAAACCTGACTGATGTAGAGGAAATAAGTGATTTTGTTCGAAAAACTCCACTAGTTGTGAGTAGACAGCTCTTTCGAGTATTTTTGATAGAAAGCATAATAAGGTAATTGGCCTGAGATCCGAATATTGTTCTGGATGATTAGTTTTAGCTATTGGAATAATAATACCATTTTTCCAACTGGCAGGAAAGTAACCTGTTTCGAGACAGACATTAATAATGTGAGTTATATGGTCTATGGTATCAGGCAAACATAAGCAAACCATATTTAAAGTTAAACCATCAGAGCCACATGCCGTAGACTTAATGTGAGAGATTATATTGACGATGTCTATCGCTATAAGAGTTAGATACACTATTAATCAAATTTGGATCAGCTGCAGCTGTCTGGAAAATTGAAAGAAAATAATTATTTAAAACGTTAGGCTCAAGGAGGCTGGGAGGTATCGCAACATATTTCTGGGCTACCACATTCATCCTCCTCAGGTGTTTCCAAGCTTGACTAGAGTTAATATTCCGGAAACGTGACATATATGCTTTTTTCTCTCTTCTAAGCGATGCAAGGGTATAATTTCTCAAATCTTTGTAGCTGGTCCAATTCTGATCAGATCTGTTATGCTGATAGACAGCGAATGCCTCATCTCTGAGTTGAAAAATCATTTTCAAGTTAGATAAGTCTATAACGCATAGGTGGCTGTGAAAAACAAAAGCCATGACAATTGTTTTTATTAATCGCAGCTGTCAGAATACGTTAAAATAGTTTTGGGTAGTTAAGGTTTTCAAAATGGGTAGAGGAAAGGTTATTAGTGAGAAAATTCGATTATTGATAACTAAATTTTTTAATTCTGGGAAATCAAACTCAGAAATTGTAACTTTGTTAGACTTATCGCAGTACAGTGTGAGAAATACTGTTCGAAGATATATTTAACGTAATTGGTTCAGTTAATATTAAGCCACGATATGTGAAAAAAAGTAATATTACAAATGCCGACCGAAGAGCATTAAGAAGAATAATAGTGAAAAGCAGGCGTGCCAATTATTTACAATTAAGTGCTCTGTGGAGTGACGCTGTTGAAAGGAGAATTTCGAGGTCCAAAACTCATAGAGAGGCCCACAAACTGGGATTTAGCACTTGCAAGGTAAGCCTTCTTATAAAAAAAAGTGAAGTAAAAACCCTATAGTTGCACAACTTGTTTATAGGCCAAAGAAAAGCCACTATTAGCTCCACTGCAAAAGAAAAATCCGCTTAGATGGGCTAAAGAACATAGAGAATGGACACCTCAACAATGGTGTGCAATACAATGGAGTGATGAGGCCCGATTCGAAGTTTGTGTTGGTGACAGTCGCAGTAGAGTTATTCGCAAAAAAAAATGAAGCATTCCATGTTGACTGTCTGAAGAGAAAAGTTAAATTTCTAGCATCCATTATGGTCTGGGGCAGTATGTCATCAAAAGGAGCAGGAAAACTTTATTTTATTGATGGAAATGTGGATAAAAACAAATATTTAGCAATTTTAGAAGAATCGCTTTTACCAGTGACGGAAGAATGTTTGACATCCGGCCAAGATTTTGTGTTTCAGCAAGATGGTGCAGCGTGCCATGCCTCAAAAAAGGCTATAAAATGGACGGAAGAAAATAATGTACCACTTTTGAAGTGGGTTTCTAGCAGTCCAGATCTGTCACATATTGAAACTTTGTGGCACGAGATGAAAAAGGTTCTACGACAACATCCTGCTCGTATAATCACCGAACTGAGACCAAAGCTTCAAGAAATATGGGATTGTTTTACACCAAATTTTTGCCAAAACTTGGTTAACACTATGCCCCAAAGGATTTCAGCCGTAATAAAAAATATAGGTGATGTTACCCAATGGTAATCTTTCAATTGTTGCTTTGTTAACTTCGCGCATTCTATTAGTTATAGGTCTAAGTGATTTCAAATGTGTATTTTTTACGACTAGAGTGTATCTAAAATGTTTTTGAGAAAATAAATTGTTTTAGAAGTAAATAGGTTCAACATGTTTAGTTTATAAAGGCATATTTTGGTACAAATCCTAAAGTGAGCCAAGTGAAGTGGAAATGGGCTCGTATACATACCAGTATATATGTATATTTGGACCTAAATAAAGGTATGATCGTTGCGTTATCGATTTATTTGGTCTAGGTACAACAGTTCCTCTTAGTTTATGCCTTGTCTGGCGATTATGTTTAATTTTTTGGTCGTTATTGACGAACTCGTGATAGTCATAGCATGTAAGAGATAAAGCTGTTTTAGGTCATATACATGTTTATCTTTGTATAAGACATCAGTTGGATACAATTTTGGTTTGTTGGACATTGTTTTTGAAATCATTTTTTAAAAAATATCCAAATCATGAATATTTGCTGAGCATGTAGCTCTCCATGCTAAGATACCGTAGGTTAAATGCGGCTGGATCAAGGTATGGTATAAGGTATAGAGGTATTTTTCTTTTAAAATGTTTTTGATATATTTAATTTTAT